GGAGGGAAAGGGGCCCTCTCCCCTCCACACCCCTTTCTTGTCAGAGCTCTGTGGACCCTGGGAAGGCTTACTTATTTTAAAGTATCTCTAAGTAAATAAATGACAAGTAGTTTTATTGATAAATGTTGGGATAAAACCACGGAAGAAATACTTTGCCCCTGCATAGTTAACTGTACAGTTTGATTTGTATGGATCAAGGTTTTAATACGTGCTCTGGGTAATCCTTTCTCACTAGGGTCTTCCAAAAAGTGGCGTCGCATGGGGCTTGTGCCTTAGCATGTGAGCTCTGGTTCAGCAAAAGCCAGTGGTGCCGTCACAATGCCAGGCAGGTGAGGAGCTCTCTGTGCAGGCCCCCGTGACCCGCTGAGCCGGGCTGTGGGACAGTGACACGGGAAGTGTCCCAGCCACGGTGCCTGGGCTGGTGTCCTGAGTGCCCATGCAGCAGAGCCACTCTCGCCCCTCCTGCGCTTCCGTCCTGCCGCCGGCCCCCAGCGAGGCGAGAGCAGCTACAGCATCTGGGGGTCCACAGCGAACCCCAAGGCCAACTCCTGGCAACTCTGCTGCCCTTCCCCTCTTCTTGAACATGCTATCTACTTCCAAAGGTAACCAACAGGAGAAACACCAGCTTGCTAAGTCTTGGACCAACTAGTTCTTCTCCCACAAAAAATGCTTGCCAAAGAGCTGTTTCTGGCTTTCTCGCTGCTTTTAAGAGAAGACACTGACTTCCTTCTGACTCTCCTGAACTCTGCCCGGTCGTGCCGCCACAATCTTTTGTTTTCTCTTTGAAGAAAAATAAACACGATGTTGGTTGAGGTGGGATTTGGTGGCTCACAGGAGGACAGTCAGCCTGGAGAAAAGCATTTAGAAATACACCTTTCAATTTACAGTACACATTTTACCTGAATTCAGTGATGGCTCAAAAAGCTTCTGAGAGCAGATGTGAATGAATCCTCATGTGTCTCAATGTAACCTCAGGCCACTTTGGTACTGTTTTCCCTCCAGGTTCACGCAGTTGACTATGATAAGTGTGTTTGCTTGTCTTTGGAAAAGCTCTTTTTCTTTGCCAGACAGGTTTTTCTCAGCCTTCACAGCTCTAATTTTAAACTAACTAACCAGAGCATTTTTACTTAAACCTTTGGGCAGAAAATTCTAGCTTCATCAATTAATTTTTATAGCATCGTTATTCCAGCTATAGCAACTTTTGTCTCTTCATTTTTTTTCTCCAATTAAGGTACTTGTAAACTGAAAATGAACTTGTGCTAAGACAACATTAGGGATTATGTTAGAAGAAAATTGGACTGATCCTGATGGTCATATGCACTTAGGTTGGTTCTTCTACCCCATGCTTACCCCACAGTAAAAATATACTGTACAGCATACCTTACAGTATGGAAATTGTAATGTTTGTAGAAGACACGTGCTCAGTAAGCCACAGTCCTACATAGTCTTATTAGCCTTAGTTAACATTTTTGCTGTTAGATTTTAGCCAGTGCTTGAGAGTGTATAATACTCTGTTATACTCAATGAATTTATACAAAAATCGGGTCATCTATATTGCAAACAAAACCACAGTGATACCGGGGCTGAAGAGCCACTTAAGAGTATGACAAAAACCTGCTTAAGCCTAGGTAGTCTTCCAAAACGGAGGTTCACCAGCAAGGGTAAAATCTTATGCACAGTTAGCTACTGGGAGTGCTTTGGGCTGAGAACAGAGCACAGCATCCGCACCCATGAATCAATCGGCACAGTGAGGACCAATTGACTGTGGTGAAGATGGTTGCTCCCGAGGAAAAAGTCAAAGGGGAGGAAGGCCAAAGTGGGTTAGCATAGTCTGAAACCTGGAGAACACGCCGTTTCTGGTTCATGTTGAGGTATTCAAGGTACCTGTAGAAAGGGAGTATTTGGTGCATCTCTCAGACACATCAGGATTCAGGCAGAAATCTCACAGACCTGGGCTGAGTACGACGTGGACATTTTCATGGCTTTACCTCACCAAGCCTGGAAGTGGGGAGCAGAGTGGCGGCTTGAGGTGAAACATGGTGAAAAATGTATGGTTTTGGCTCTGTTTTGGGTTTCCTCTACTTTGGGGATGCTTCAGAGCCTGTCTCCTGCCTGGCCTGTCCTTCCCTGTGCAGAGAGGGGCATGGCTCCTCTTCTCCCAGTCCCAGCAGCCAGCAGGAGTTACTGGTGGGGTAACACGGCATTGTGGGGGAACTGCTAAGGGAGGAATCTGCCCTTAAAAAAATAAATTTAAGCATGGGCTAGACAAACATCCATCAGAAACAATGTGAACGTCATTGGCTCTGCCTTGGGCAAGGGGGTGGGCTGCCTGACTTCTCACCCTGTCTTCTGTGGACACCCAAGCACGTCCTGTGGCACCTTGCCACGGAGTGCCTCCACATCCTTTTTCTGACAGCTTTGGAGATAGAGGAGTAATTTTATCACTGGTTTTATCACCTTCCTTGAAGATCTCCGAAGGCCTCACATGCTGAGATTTAATGCGAGATCTGTGAAACTACAAGCTAGTCTTTGGACATCTCTTTAACAAGGCTCCCATCTATGCATTTCAATTAGATGTGAGGAGGTTTATGGTAGCCATCCTTGCGTCTAGTGTTTGCAAGTGATAGCATGAGGGATAGCGGAGGTGTAAAATCAGTGTTTACCATGTCTTCCTCTCCGCAGTGTACAAACAAACTCTTTCACACATCTCCCATTTCCAGGTGTCCCACAAGCCAGTAGACTGGCTGGTGGCAAAAGTGGGTG